TCTAGGGATTGTCCGCACATTCCGATTTGGGAGGCGGTTTTAAGGAACCTTGTTTAGTTTTCCTAGTGAACACTTTCCTGAAACAGAAAGTACTCTGCCCGGGTTGTGATGAGCCTGGACATGCAACCCAGGTCCTGCCTCAAGGGAGGAATTGTAGTCTTTGCAGCTGGGAGTGCTTCTTCCACTGTACTGTTAATGACTTCAGTGATAGCTTCACCTGGAGAGATGTGCCTTCTCCAAAGCCAGCACCCATCCAGCAGCAAATGGTTTAGAAAGGCTGCAGAAGCCTCACGCGTTCAACCTAATGCAGAAATCTTTGGTTGGGTAATTTTAGTTTCCGAGTTTCCTGTTATGTTGGACAAGGCTTTCATCAGACCTGATTTGCAGTTCACATTCTCCTTCTGGCCAACCTTACTTAATTCCATTCTTCTTTCTACATATTTATTGCAAAGATTCTCTACTTTAAACATAGTATGCAATAAAATTTACCTTTAAGTGTATTTCTCAGAGATTTCTGTAGTGAGAATCCCAGGAAACCCTGGAAATAGAGGAAGGGAAAATAAACATTCTTAAGGACACCCTACTGTTGACATTTGGACACAACAGGAATTAAGAAGAGATGCCCTTGATCTTTAATTTTCTAAATCTTAATCAGGTCAAACCAGTACATGAGGCTAGCTGAATGGAAAGAACACTACTGCTTTCAAGAGAATATTTGTAGTTTTGTGTGTTTTGATAATTTTTTGTGTATGTATTCTTCTTGCACTGCGTTTAATGATCAGAAAATTTATGAACTTTAAAGTAAATCCAATTCTTTTAAAAATATTCTTAGGTTTTTTAGAGAAAGATTTGCCTACCATGTTATTCAGGTTCCACATAGAAGTAAAAATTCATGCAGTAATTTAAATAGGTTTCCTCAATATCTGCATAAACCTGTATATAACATTGCCAGGGAATTAACTTTAAGAGAGGGTAAAAATATCTTTACATGTACACTAGAGTTTTGGGAGAATATTTAAGGAAGAAGTAAATTTGGAAGAAGGGCTAGGTCCTCCTCACAGGAAAAGCGAGAATTCACTGGAGAATATGTCCTTTCAGCCCACTGGTTGTCAATATAGTACGTTCAGTTGCCTTGGCCAGGAAAGAAAAGCCCTGTGGGGGAATAGGTGGCTCAATGCCAGCAACTGATATCCTCTTTCAGAGTTAAGAAGCAAGAAGTTTCCTCCAAAATGCAGATATGCTGAAGTTGGCAGGCAGAGAAATAGTTGGGAGTGAACGAAGTTGACATTTTTTTGAAGTACAGATAGATAGGAAATCATGGCATGCACTAATAAACTGGAAACATGTCTTTTGGTTACAGGTGAGCTATGGCTGTGAAGTTAATTGGCCGAATAACTGTAAGGTTCAGTAAGAGTTTTGCTAGGGATACCGCTGAAATTTGACGGATGAGCATCACTAAATATCTCCCACACTTGCTTCTTCTATGTGTATGATGAAAATAAGAAAATTCAAACAAGTACTTCAGAGTATCTCCTCTAAGTGTCCCTACAGCATCGTCTACTGGCCAAGATAAATATCATGGTACTTGTACAAGTAAGAAATGTCCATTGTGTATGGCTCCATTCTTGCAGAGGAGAAAATGAAGACCTTGTTCAAAGCGAAGGGCCCATAAGTACATAACTGCCACATTTGCTAATATAATCAATGACATATTTGGTAAAATCTTTGAAAGTTTGTTGGCCTTAAATTTTATATTTAGATATAGAGTCTATGTAGAATGTATTTTTTATGGTTGATCAAGGAATACATCTGATATAATTATATGCTTCACTCAATCATTGCATCATCCCTGCACCTTACAGCTGCCTTTGTCATGCAGTGTAATGTATCTCTCTGAGGCTGTTTGGGGTCTCTTTGTTCCGTTTCACTGGACAATATTTTTCTACCCTTGCCTTAATCCAATATTTTCTCGAATTACTACAAATTTATGTGAAACTTTGTTATTGGATAGTGTGAGCCCAACAGGTTTAGAGCTATTTTACTTCAAGTAGTTGTGAACATTTTTGATATTTCTATATCCACATTAAAATTCATGTGAAGCATTCAATTTCTACAAAATCTTAAGCTTTATTTATGAGACAATTTGGAGTGAATAACTATATTAAAATAAGTATTCTAATTCACATAGTGAATCCCTTGCTTGAATTGGTTGTTCTTAAATTTCTCTCAACCATCTTTGAAATTTTAAGTGTAAAAGTCCAGCAAATCTTTCATTCATTTCTTATTCTGTAATTTTTATGGCTGTACACATTTAGGCTTTAGATTTTAGTTTCTATTGATAGGTGGGTTTTTTGGGGTAGAAATGCATGTACTTAGCCTGAAGAATTAACTTACTGGTTCTCGTGACTTGTCTTTAGAGTACTTTGCATTTACTAGTGCTTCACAAATACTATCTGTGAATAGTAGGAATGCTTTTTTTCTTTCCTTCCCAAGTTTCTTTTTTCCTCAGTGAGATCTGTAGCAAATTTTCTTTTTCTCTGTCTCTGAGAAAACATTAATATTTTATAACTGACTGATATTTATTATAGTTTTTAAAACAAAGGAAATTATTTTTAATCTCTACCTTAATAGATTTAATAACATGGAATTTAGTCAAATATTTTTCTTAGAAACCTAGATTGTGACTATCAATTGTCAATTATTGTTATGATATAAAGTTTGATTTCTTCCTTTTGTACTAATACAATGAATCATTTTCTGTGATTTTTTTCATGTAAAATGAATTTCATGTCCAAGTTAAGCTCAAAGGAATAATGGAATGCTTGTATATATGTTTGTCTATATCAGCAGATTAGATTTGTTAATATTATTTTTTGCGTTTTGATTTTGTAATCACTTTTATGGGGTCATAATTGTCTTATTTTCTTAGATCTCATTCCAGTTTGGAGTACACGTTATGATTGCCTCAGAGAAATAGTGATGGTGTAATCTCTCCCTTTACAATTTTTAAAAATATATGTGTAGATTTTCTGTCATTCTTTGGTTAAACGTTTCAGATAATTCATTAAGAATAGTGTCTTCTGGTAAGGCTTCTTTCCTTCTGTAATTTTTAAATAACAGTATCAAGAAATACACCAATTCCTGGTGATTTACAATATACAAATTTGAGACAAATACTTTGGTTTTTGTGTCTTAAATATTGATCTGTCTTATTCTCTTCTCTCCTTAAACTCCACCATATGTTAAAACATTTTGATTACAACTTTCATGCCAATTATTTTCTGTTCTATTCTTCTGTTTTTCTTTAATCTTGTTCCTTCGTATTTCACTGTAACATTTAGAAAACTGTGTGAGACTAAGGGCTACATGTTGCTCAAGTAAAGTACCTTAGCAAAGAAGTTACGGCTTCTGTGCTCTGGTACATTAAGCCTTGTGCTTCTGTGTTGTAAAAGTTTCTACTAGTAGTAGGAGAGCAGTGATCAGTCTTTGAGAAGAGAGAATGAACAATTATTTAAACTATTTTAATGAGAGAGGTGGAATTGAACACAGTTTCCAAAATGTCAGACTCACTCTCTGGTTTTTCCCTTTCTCTGGATTACTTCACCATTTCAGGGGCAAATATATATTATTCTTTCATGACTAAGATACAAAATTCTCCAAATTCTCCAAAACTCAACCTATTCAGTATAATACACACTTCAGAATGTCAGCATAGTAAATTAGCATGTGAGTTAATTTTCCTAAACATTATACACACTTAACAAGACAAGAGTTTTCTCTGTTGAAAGAAATATACATGGGAATCTGCTCATGGTTAAAAGACTATCTGAGGCTCATGCGTTTGGATCCCTAGAAACTATCTCCTGATTATTTTACTGAGTGCCTATGAATTGTATGTATCTCCTTAAAATAACTGTTAGGGTCTTTGTAATACTAAAGACTCTTCAGGATACTAAACATAGAGCCGTGGAATTGGCAGCTTGGGAGAATAGTAATAGTAAATAATAACAACCTAGCATTGAAGGAACAAAAGTACCTCTTGATTATATCTTACTGAGTATTTAATGCAGTCTCAAAGCTTTATATATATGCAGTGAATATATATGAGAGATTGTTACCCAGGCAACATCATGAACTTATTTCATAGAAAAAGATTAAAAGACGAAAATGCCCACCTATTACTTTAGGTTTCACAGTTAACAGCCAGAATTGGGGCTCAAAGATAAAGATATCTGGACTTACAAACCATGATCTGTGCCACCATAGGTCTAAAGTTCTTGCACTTTGCCTTCACATTGTCCTGAGACTTTAACAGAGAACTTTTATTTTTAGAGTAGTTTTCTCCTTAAAATAGTGTTTTTCAGCATTGGCAGTATCCACATTGGACTAGCTAAGCCCTTATTGTGATGGCTTTGTGTCATATTATATGATGTTTATAGACATCCTAAGCAGCCATATAATTGATGCTTGGAATATATCCTCAAAGTTTATTGGCACTGTGTGGCCAAAAATTCTTTTGGTTGAGAACCACTGCCTAAAATTAAAAACAACAACACCAACAACAGCTTTTCTGGGCTTTCTGTATTACAGTGAAAACCACGTTGTGATGACTCCCCTTCAAAATATTCCCCTTCACTTTGAACACACTTATCCCGTCATTCTTTGTCTTTCCCCTGGAAAAGCACTCTTGATTATTTAACTAAACAAAACTAAAATAAGTTGCATAGGAAGAACATCCCACCATTCTGGCCACGTTCTGAAGAATTTCTGGAAATCCTTTTTCATGAGTGCTTTTAATTGTACTATTTTGCCTACTCTGATGTCCTAAATGGTTTGAAACCATTTATCTTTCATGGTAATTTTGGCTTTGTGGAAGGGCTGGAATTCACAGGGTGCCTGAAAACACACAGTAATGCTACTACTTGACTGAAATTTCTGCAAATACTTTATTAATGAGGAGTCATTGAAAACAATGGTGAATGATTAAATAAAAATATTCATTGCAGTAGAAGTCATACGGTCATTAACATCCCTCAAAGTATTTGATATACTCTCCCTAACTTCACATACACGTATATCATTGTTCTAGTAAATGCAACTTTTACTCTAATAAATTTTTAAGGACCCACCATATATTTTACTCACCACTTACATATTACATATTTCTTCAGTGCTTGATTTCTCTGAAATGTTAGTATTCTAATGGACAGCGCAGATGTTTATACACCATGGACCTGCAATGCGAAGTTTCCCCAAAATATTACTTAACAAGAATTGATTGCTTGATTGATCTGTATCAGATATTTTAGTCACTAATTCAAATAAAATAATAATCTGTTGTAATATTTAAGAAAAATTAATGAAATACTGCACAAATATTAAGCATTTTAAGAAAAAATACCATAATGCCAAATTTTAGAAAAGTAGAAATTTAATATACCAATCAAGTTCTATCTTGTATGTGGTAGCTACGGTATCCTTAAAAAACACCATGAAGTCATTTTTCTTTGAGTTAAAATTTCATTGAAAATGAGTTGAATTGACCTGAAATTGAAGAGAATAGAAATAAAATGATGGATCTCAGAGGTAATTTATGAAAATATTTTAATTATTTACACCATGAGTTAAGATAACAAGAAGAAAAATAGGAATGGATCCTTAGAAACAACATAGATAATATAAATGAGATAAATTACTTCAGTTGTGACTGGGGAAGAGTAGTAGAGAGGGAAGATAAGAGCATTGTATTTTAATTAAAGTGGAGTTTATTGGCCAAACACAGTCTCTCCTGTCATTTATACCCTGTGCACTTTGTGAATGAACAGATAGGATGTGCTTTACACTGTATTTTGAAGAATTTACTTTTTGCTTCATAGTGAGGATATGGGGAACATCTACTGAGTCGGATCAAATCTTCATCTTTGCTCCTTAGTATGATAGCTCTGGGTTGGTCAGAGGCAGTTTTGTGGGCTCTTGTACATAAGAGTTCTTGCTGGATGAAGACAGTAGAAAGCTCACCCTCCTATCAAATGGCTGGTGAAAGCTTTGAGTGTCATGGATCAACTATATATGTACCACAAATTTTTTATTATTTAAAATTGCTTTAGAAGTCCTCCCTTTCATTAGTAAACTATGTATTTATTTCCCTGTTCACATTAGGTTAACAAGTTGAATGTCATTATTCCTGTTATAAGGTGGCAAAATATG